CAGACTAACTTAGCATTCCATTGATTCATGGTGTAGTAGATGAGTTAAAGTGCTGCCTGAAGGAGGACTACTGGCTGAAGGTGTATCGGCGCTACCATGGCAGGTTGCCGTCATCAGTGCCGTGACCAACACACATACAAACTATCCTGTAGGCAGACTAACTTAGCATTCCATTGATTCATGGTGTAACGGATGAGCTAAAGTGCTGAGGACTACTGGCTGAAGGTGTATCGGCATTACCATGGGAGATTGCCGCCATCAGTGCCGTGACCAACACACAAGAGACAACTTTATTTGCCTTCTATTATTATCATTAAATAAATATTTTTCTATTCTATTCTAAACTATTTATTTAGTTTATATTCACATTATTCAACTCAAAAATTGTATTTAGGCAATGCAGATTTCTCTCTAGTTCTTCTTGTGATGAGACAGGTTGAGCAAATGAGCGGTTGAGTAAAAAAATAAGTAATTTAACAGCCTATTCAAAAGTGCTTAATGTTAATGTAAGTTTAATTAAGTAAATAAATAGAATAGAATAGAAAATCATTTATTCAAATAAACTTACCATCAACATCTACAGTTTGCACCCTATCCTCTAGATAAGTTTTCATTAGACTTAGGTCATTATCTCTATAGGTTAGTATTTATTTAGTTTTCATTCACATGTTTCAATTTAAAAATTTAAAAGAGCAATATGCAGGGTTCATACTTGTTCTTCTTGTTTACGAGACAGATTTCCAAATAAGCGGTAGATTAAAAAATAAAGAAAGAATATTTTAATTTATTCTACTACTCTATGGATTTATACTCGATGGATTATTTTGTTTAATTCCTAGTTAGTAATGAAATCTAAATATATATAACTCAAAGGTGACTGACATAGTGATCTATCAACGCACAGCCCAAACCACTGGACGGATCGGGCTGAAATTTGGCATGCAGATAGATGTTATGACGTAGGCATCCGCTAAGAAAGGATTTTGATTAATTCTACCCCCAAGGGGATAAAATAGGGGATGAAAGTTTGTATGAAACTTTATCAATTTTAAACCGATCGGGCTGAGACTTTGCATGCATAAAGCTACTATGATGTAGGTATCCCCTAAGAAAGTATTTTGGTAAATTTCACCCCTAAGGGGATAAATTAACGCAAGCGAAGCCGCGGGCAATAGCTAGTAAATAATATAGGTGTAGACTCAATAACGGTCGGAATTTGATCGCCACTGGAGAAGGTCGTAGCGCTGGTCAGGTTTCCACACCGAATATTCATAGTCTCACACATGTTAATTGTAGCGGAATTAAACAAAATAATATAAATCTATCGAGTAGTGAAATGGACTTCCGCAAAATAACACCTAATTCGTATAAATATTCTATTCTATTCTGAACCGGCTATCGTAGTATATGGACTAAGTTGTAATGTGGAATACATTCTCCATATAACATTTCCTATTAACATTTTATATAATATTTAGGGGAAACAAATCGGCTTTTTCCGTGTAGTTAAAATACATACATTCCTAGAGGCTTAAATTCCTAATAGAATTTCATATAAGTCCAGGAATTAGTTCGCGACGTTGTCTCATTTTATTGTTCTATATAGGTCAATATTGCTTCTCTAAGATATAATCTAGGTCTGCATTCTTTATTTGATGGCCTCGGTGGTTTAGCGAGTTAACACACCTTAGTTCCGATGGTCGCAGATTCGATTCCTCGCACGGCACAAACATTTATATTCATGAGTATGATTGTTTGTATCGGTCTGGGTGTTTTCTATGTATAATATGTATGTATTTACGAAAAAAATATCAATGTATTTGTATCAGTTGTCTAGTACCCATAACACAAGCTTTAGCTAGCTTAACTTGGGTCTAGATGGCGCTGTGTGAATTGTCCTGATTATTATGAAGTACAACTGCCATAATCCGAAACATGTTCGTTAAAATACATAAATACACATACACACATAATACATAATACATGAAAATATTACAAACCTTTTTCATGTTTACAACACCTTTCATTTGGCCTTTTTAGATCGTATATTTTCCCAGCTCCACTATGATATTTTAGTGAATGTATCTACCAATAAATCTTACCATTTTACAACAATATGTGTCATATTTACCGTGACCAGACGTCCCATTTTGAACGGGACTGTCCCTTTTTATAATTACACTAGCTACTCGCCCCGGTTTCGCACAAGTGTACATATATTATATATATAAACCTTCCTCTTGAATCACTCTATCTGTTAAAAATACTGCTTCAAAATCCGTTGAGTAGTTTTCAAGATTTACGCATACAGATAGTGACAGCGACTTTGTTTATACTATGTAATGAAGTCCCCGTGTCCTTGGAATGACCTTTGGGACGCAGAATTGTCCCCTTTTCGAAAACCTCCCGAAATTTTAGGCAGTCGAGTTTTGAAGTTGATATTCTAAATATATATAACTCAAAGGTGACTGACTGACATTGTGATCTATCAACGCACAGCCCAAACCACTGGACGGATCGGGCTGAAATTTGGCATGCAGGTAGATGTGTATAGACGCTATGACGTAGGCGACCGCTAAGAAAGGATTTTGTTTAATTCAAACCCTAAGGGGATAAAATAACGCGAGCGAAGCCGCGGGCAAAAGCTAGTTGGGGTAGTATAAAAATATATGTGAAGTGTTTCATTCTGACTTAAAGTATCAACGAGCTGTATTATGTAAAGCAAATTTGTTTCTCCAAATATATAAACATAACTAAACAAAATATTCAGTTATATTTATACTTATCTGGTCTTTTATTTAAATTCGTAACTTTTAAGCTAACTTAATCTGAATGACTCTAAAAAAAGTGTTTCTTTATTGACTATATATTAATTCATCTAAATAAACCAATGTCCCGTTTTGCGTCAAAGAATAAATGGTCACTTTAGTGATATCCCACTCACTGCCTGAAAATATTGCCATAGAAAAAAAAACATTATAATCTGAATCCGGACGTGCAGACGAAATATAGGATCGGAGCGACCGCGGAGGGAAATTGGACGCCAGAAGGCGAATCTTTATCGACATCAGAGATGATCGAGGGGCTTTGTGCTGTGTAAACATCAACCTGAAATAACGAAATATAACGATCAAACATCAATCCGAAATAACGAAATGTAACGATCAAACATCAATCCGAAATAACGAAATGTAACGATCAAACATCAATCTAAAATAATGAAATCTAACGATCATATAAAGATATGAAAATATGACCAATTCATCACCTAATAACAGCTGTTTTCCATTCCTATATTACAAAGTACTTAGAAATTCATCATGAAAAGGTAAAGATCAGACTCTTCTGCCTTCTATAATAATAATGATATATATTCATTGCCTTAAAGTCATTGTCATTAATATTTGACGATCTCGGTGGTCTAGCGGTTTAGCACACCGCTTTACGACCGATGGTCGCGGGTACGATTCCTCTCACGGCACAAACATTTGTATTCATGAATATGCTTGTTTGTATCGATCTGGGTGTTTTCTATGTGTATTATGTATGTATTTACAAAAGATATGTATTTGTATCAGTTATCTAGTACATAGACTACAAGGCGCTGTGTGAATTGTCAAAATATATATATATATATATATGTTAGTACGTATTGCATTAAGATTTCATTAAAGTAAAATGATATTTAGTTAATGGATATAGCATTCATTAAAATTAATCAATCACACTGATCTATAAACGTCGACCATTTTAATGTGAATGTAATATTCTTTGGAAATTGTTAAGTATAACTTAAATAACTGTCGTACTTAATACTTCGTTACATTTAATTTTATTATATACTAGCTGCTACTCGCGGTTTCCTTTACTTTATGACATAAAATATAGCCTATATATGTATACCTGAAAGAACCAATCTCAGGATTTTATTTGCTTATGATTATGAGATAAAATATAAGCTATATCCTAATACAATCTATTTGAACCTCAAATTTCGATAACTCAGCTATTTAATCCTGAATGGTTAACTAATATACAGACAGACAGAGAGACACATATATACATTTTCTCTTTTATAAAATTGGTATGTTGGAAACTCCATACCTATTTTTGTTTTAGAAAAAAATTAGGAAAAAAAATACGAGCTGAGTTTCTAGTCAGTTCTTCTCATCTCGATACCATCCCGAACTGACGGTAGATTTGAACCTGTAATAGACAAAATAAAGATTCGAATTTTGAACTCTTAATTATTTACTTCATTATTTAGATATATAACGCTGAATAATTACTAGGTTAACTAATATACAGACAGACAGAGAGACACATATATACATTTTCTCTTTTATAAAATTGATAAAGTATAATTATCTGATATGAGTAAATTCACCTGTTTTAATAAAAAAAAAGTTACATAATGCACACAAAGGATAAATATTCAGAAATAAAAAAAAGTTTAAGGCGACGCATAACAAGAGATTTAATATACAACGAGAAAAGATAATACATATGTATAATAAGATACATTGCAAAAATCAAAATTAAAAAAAAACCATAAAATAACTCAGGAACAAAATGCAAAAGACAATAAAAGAATAATAAATAGAATTTCATCCCCTATTTAATCCTCTACCAGATTATTTTTTGAGATAAGCGATACCTACCTTTATGTCAAATTTGATTAAGATCCATTCGGCTTTAGTCGTAAAAAGGTGACAAACAAATAAATGAACAGATTTTTTTATATAGCTATAGATACTAAGGAATACAAAAGAGCTAAACAACTGTACATTAAAAGGCTATTATGAAAATTGGTTTGTATTATTGTATTACAAAACCGAAAATTAATCTAATGGTGTACTAAATATAGGAAATGATTAATTCCTTATATAAATTATATTATAAATAATTTATCATAATGGATTCATTTATAAAATGTAAATAAATTGTAATGTAATGGAATTAAAACTACAGTCACCGTTATGAAATACCATAAACATAACATGATCAAAACGTGGAACAATGTTTACAGCATTTTATACCTTTTGCTGTATAAAAGTGAGGCCATAATACAATTAGCAATTGAAAATAAACAAACTTTTCTAGACACTTGTGTTATAAAAGTTTTAAATGAAATCGAATCAACTAAGGACTTTAAAGATGTTACTTTGATAAACGCCAGTAATGAGCTTGGAAAAGCTCTTAATGATCTACAAAAATATAGATTTCTAATACGATCATTTCTATGGGAAAAGCAAAAAGCTCCCAATGAAGTATATCTGATAATTAGCGAACATTACTACGCTCTTTATGATGAAATCGATGAATTGAAACAAGATAGTTATTGGAATCCCAGAGCTATATTTATTATTATAATAAATGATGTAATTGAGCTTCTGCAGGAAATTTCTAGTTTATTACTGTATAATCACATGTATAATGTAATTATTGTTACAAGACTGAATAAAACTATTGACGATTATTCAATATTTGGATTTTCACCAGAAATTGATGATTGTAACATACCTAAAGTGAAGGTACTGCAATTTATATCAAATTGTTCATCACTGAATAAGATAAGCGCACTTATTTTTAAAGGAGGCGCTGTAATAAATAATTGCAAGGTAAAGTTATACGCTAGACTATACGAACCGTTTTATTATTTTCCACAACCTTCAGGAATACGTGGAATAGAAGAATATATTTTAAAGTTATGGTCACAGACTCAGAATATTACTATTGATTTTGTTAATACTGGAAGCGGTCCTGAGACAGTATATTTATTAAGCAATTACACTGATTCAAACATTGTTATATATAATGATACTAATGATGCAATAGGCATATTTGGAGGCTTCTCACTTAACATCAAGAGGAGGACTATACTTGAATACAGTTATCCGTATATGATCGATCATGAAATTATTATTACCGCCCGTACACCTGACCTAGAAAAATGGGAAGCCATTATGAATGACCTCAGTCTATCTATTGCGATCCTTTTATCTTGTCTATTTCTAATTTTCTGCATATTGTCTTCGTATTTGTTAATTTTTGTTAAAAAACGCAGAGATATCGTACGAGATATCCTTATTGTCTATGGTTACTTTCTTACTAATATTTCTGTTAAGAGATGTAATCCTAACTTTGTGGCTCGCATTGTATTTTTGAGTTTACTCATATTTGTATTTCTAATGTCCAATATAGTTCAAGCTTTTCTGCTGAGTGCGAGCACAAGGCCTATTGCAGGCCATCAGGTTAATGATTTAGAAATAATATACAAAACTTTCAAACCCATACTGCTGAGAGCCTGGAAATGGAAATTTTCTCATAAATTAAATGATACGGAGTACTGTGATGAAATAACTACGTGTATAGAGAAAGTAATTAATAGTAATGAATTAGCATTTACTCTAGTATCTGATACTTACTACAACATACTATATTACGATGTGATAGACAACCTTGGTCAAGTTCAGCTTTACAGAGTGCGGGAACCAGAAAAGTTTGTGTACCGCGTTATATATTTCTCTCGAGGATCAACTGCTATCTCCTCAATGAATAGACATGTACGGTTAATAACAGAGAGTGGTCTTCTAAGTCATCATATACAACTGATGGAATACCTAGCTAGAGTGAAATCCAAAGTGAAGAGTCACGCTGGTTATGACCCAACAGATTTATCCGAAATAAAAGAACCCTTTATTGTATTAATTATTGGATATTTTCTATCTATAATTGTTTTTGTTTATGAATGTAGATGTAAGTAACTGTAATACAAAAGTAATGATCGTGAAATGTCCGTTTCACTAGCACGAATTTCAGTACACTCAAAAATTGGGTAATTATTTTTTAGCAATGAATAAGATAATAAAATTATTACACACATATTTGGTATTATAACCTGTTCTATTATTGAATTCTATTTCTTTATTCATTTGTTTGTGTTGAGAAACTCTTTTGATATTAATATATTTAAAGTTTTCTTGTATTCTTTTTCTTTAATCAAAACTGTAAAAACAATATTATGTATTATGTCACTTCACTCTCTGCCATGTTACCATAAATACATTTTCCAGTCAGAAATATTTATACTACATATTTCTACAACAGGTTGTCGTAAGCTATTGCTATATAATTAACTGACTATGATGGGAATCTGCATTATATATCTTCTTTTATGTATTTACACTCTATTACTATATGTTGAGTGTCTTCTACAAGGTTATATGTAACATAAATATATGATTAAGTTTTATCCAATAGACTTTCTGTTAGAATAAAATATAATTGTCTATTATTTTATTTATATTTATTAAAATAAAATGTATACAACTAACTTGTTTGCTGAACACCTCATTCGATATACGCATACTTTTTCTTATCTGTGGATTAAAAGCAGCAGTTAGCGTGACCTAGAGATTTGAAAGAAAATCTACAACTCATTGTCATTCATTGATCTTAATACTAGAACCAAATAATAATACTATTTCTAAATATTCCTTCTAAAGAAAACAAAAGATTGAAATAACATAATCGGAAATTGTCGTGCAAATAATATTGTTGTAGGTTTATCCAGGGAGTCATAATAAGAGAATTTCTGCGCGTTACGAATTTAATTTTCAAATATTACAATAAAAGCACTAATATCTAGTAAGAAATAGTCGTTACTCTAAACTAGTTGTATTCTGCTACATCATCTATAAATATTCATCTTAGTGAATATATATTAGTATCGAAACTAGTACATATATTATCTATAGATATAATCTAAGTACATAATTCCGTTCTGTTTTGTTCTGTTACCAGTCTATATCCATTAAATTTGAAGGTAGCTCCTTCAAATTCAGAGACTATTCTTAATAGTTTCTTGTTCTCATTGGATATGTTCTTGATAGAATGGTTACGGTCATCATGTGGTAGGGTAAGAGGCTGATGGACAGCTCGGAATTTGTTTCTACTTGCTACCATTCTAGTACACTCGTGAGTAGACCGCTTACCGCTGCTTTGTCTTGATAGCTCAATCGCATGGGTGATTATGCTATTGAGGTTTATAACGTCATATACCTAAAAAGAAAGAATATCAGTTACTTAGTAACGGTTGTTTGCTAGACAATAGAATTTTAGAATTTTACACCGAATAGCTTGTTTCTCTTATATAGCCATGGGGTCTAGTACCAACCCTATGTATGACAGGTCATACTACAGATACGTCGAAATACCTAGGAATTTCGAAATACTTTGCTTATGATTTTGCTATATCGACTAAATTTATTCCATTTGTCATAGCGTCCATTGTGTCATAAAAAGTAACTACCACGTACCGATATTAATTGATGACTTTCTGTAATAAAACTGAAAGATTAAATTTCTGGGATTTTCCGTGAGCAATATTACTTTCATAACAAGTTATTTTCCGTTTAAATCAATACTAATATTATAAAAGTGAAATGATGTCTGTCTGTATTTATATTTACTGTTTGTTACTAAAAGGCTGAATGGATGTTAATGATATTTGATATAATGAAGACGAATATAACCATTTCCCTAATAAGGATGTTAATTTTTTAAATGCATACAAAATCGTGGAAGAAGTTAGTATTTCTTTTCTTTTCACAATCGTAGTTATGTATTCTATGATATCCTATTACAAAGTATTGGAATCGGATATCATAGAATAGACTATATGTTGATCCCGACATTTTCTGTTCATTTAATTTGACTTAAATTGTAGTCTATGATCATTCACGTGATACAGTCTATCTTTAAGTAAATTTATTAAGATCTGTCCAATTGGTTCGTTATGAAAAACTGACTGTTACTTTTTATAATGAACAATATTTTCTCACTTATTTCTACAATAATCTATACCAATTATATAAGGACAGATCGTATAATACAGCACATAATCGCTTTTATGATATTAGTATGATTGATATAGATTATTCTAGAAAAAATAAAAAATATATATACGGAAACCTTAATTCTCTCAATACGATTTACGCTTTCATTGCGGTTATGATAAATGATCATAAAAAGAAACTTATTGTAATCAAGAACAAATACAGGTATCCAAATAGCAAGTGATTTATCATTCTATAAGTAACTAACAGTAACAGTAATAGTCAAAACATTCATAACCGTGATCTTATAATGGATCGTATTCAATTTGGTCAATACAAAAATGGTGTACTTGAAGATTTGGATCTTCTACTTTTTACTTTATAAAAGCGACGCTGAACTATATCTGTTACTTGATAACGAAGATAGTGGATTGGACGCATGTCTAGTAAGAGTTTTGAATAAAATTATACCAATGAATCTAATGACAGATGTAACATTAGTAAATTCTAATGAGTTAGTAGGAAAAGCACTTCATAGTATTAAAGGTTTACGATTTGTAATTCGAGAATCATTGTGGGAAGTACAAACTGTTTTTAATGAGATATATGTGATCGTGAGTGAGAAGGACGATAAAATTTACAATGAAATCAATAAACTGCAACAAGATATTTATTGGAACCCTAATGCTAAATTTGTAATTGTTATTCACAACATGATGGACAGTATAAAAGAAATTTCAAGTTTACTATTAGAGAATAACATTTTCGATGTAATCGTTATTGCAAGAATGAACAAAACGGACAAAGGACTTTCATTATATGGATTTTTACCAGAAATCGACGAGTGTAATCGGCCTAAATTGAAGAGGTTGCAATGGTTATCAAATTGTGCATATCCTAATGAAATTAACAGTTTTGTCTACAAACCCAATAAAACTATGAAAAATTGTCCCATTAAATTGTATACACGCAACCATCCGCCATTCACTTATATTCCAAAATTAGACGTGTTAGGAATTGATCAGTATATTTTTGACTTATGGACAAAAACCCATAATATAAGTGTGGAATTAGTTAACACTGGAAACGCTACAGTTATGGCAAAAATTGTTAATAACCTCACTGAAGAAAACATTATTCGTTCCGAAGATAACGGTCATCCAATTGGTATATTTGGTGGATACGAAATAAACGCAAATACAGCAAGAGTATTAGATTTTAGTCAGTCATATTTAATTGATCATATCATTATAATAGTAGGTCGTACGCCTAGACTTGGAAAATGGGAGACTATTAGATACCAGATCAATTTATATATTATTTGTCTTTTATGTATCCTATTTATAATATTCTGTGTTTTATCTTCATTGTTATTCCTTTTTAACAATAAGAGACATGATATTTTTCGAGATATACTTATAGTCTACGGTTACTTTTTGACTAACATCAGTGTTAAGAAATATAGCGACAGATTTGTGCCTCGAATTATTTTATTAAGCTTGTTAATATTTGTATTTCTTATGACAAGTATCATTCAAGCGTTCTTGTACAGTGCAAGCACAAAGCCCATTGCTGGTCAGCAAGTTGATTCACTACAAGACGTCTATAGAACATACAAGCCAATTATAATGAAATTTTGGGATTCTTATTTCAAGCATCGGTTCGAAAATCCGCAATTTTGCGATAACATCACTGAGTGTATACGATGTGTGATCCAAACTGATGAGACAGTATTTTCTACAGCTTCTGATACTTATTACGATATGGTAGTTTGGGAGATGGTCGACAGTCATGGACAGTTACAGCTATTTAAAATACAAGAACCAGCGGAACGTCTGCATCGAGCTATGTACTTTCCTCGCGGGTCAACTATTCGAGAACCTTTAAATAGACATATTCAGATGACAGTTGAGAGTGGCCTAATAAAGCGTTATATAAATATGATGGGACACCGTGCCCGGCTGAAGTCGAAAGTGAAGCATTGGAATCGGTATGTTCCTAACAATTTTTCTGAAATAAGAGGACCGTATACAATACTCATTGTTGGATATACACTATCAATTGCTGCGTTTGTATATGAATGCAGAACTAAAAAAATATGATGAAAATATTTATCTTTTCTTTTTTCTATTAGTTACGCCCTTATTTCCATAGACTGAAGGTCCGTGCCCTTTTTTGAATTTTTTTTATTGATTCTTTTTATTTATATTTTTCCCTCGCCTTTATTTCTCCGCGAATAACATGTATTGTGGCTTCCCGCAGTTAATCTATTTTATTTTTATTTTTTCTTTATCTTTTTTTTGTTTTTGTTTTTTTTAATTGTTTATTTATTTATTTCCTACGGGGAGCCAACGACACTGCTTAGTTACTGTATACATTTAATACATATTAATAATAAATATTTGAGGTAGGTTGATGCGTGAAGTGGAATGTTGCACGAAAGGGAATGAGAGATATGTATGAGAGAGAAAGCATAAAATCAAAGAGGTAAGTTAAACGTATTAAATAATAATTAAGATATTAATATAATACATGAAATATTACAAGAATAAGTAAAGACTATTATTTGCTCTCTACCCTACTTAATTCCAAATAAATATTAAGTATGACGTTGTGGCAGTCTCAGGATCTTTCCGTGATAATTTATTTGAATAAGCTTACAGCTCACCTGATGGTAAACTGATCACCGCTGGACACCAGCACTCTTAACATTAGGGGAATTGAAAGTGTGTTGCCGGCGTTTTAAGAAGGAATAAGCTCTTTTCTTGATGATTTCAATATCGTATCGGTTCGGAAATACCATTGATGGAAGGTAATTCACAATGTACTCGTGTGTAGCAAAAATTTCTTGAAAACGTACGGTAGAGGACCAAAGTTCATCCAGATGGTTAGATTGGTTACTATTAAGCATCACTTCAGAATGACTA